TTCCTGAGGTCATTTGAAGCAACTTTTTCCTTTGCGACAATTTTCTCCGAGGCTTCGTTTACGAGTTATCAACGAAAAACACTGACCAATAAGAGGCGAGCTCGGCTGGCGCGCGGTGACTCAGCCAACGAGTGCACGGAGCCCAGTTCCGCTCATTGACTCGGCCGTCTCGCGCCAAACGATCTCGCCTCTGATTGGTCACTGTTTTTCAGTAATAACTCGTAAACGAAGCCGCGGATTGCATTTTCGCTAAGGAAAAAGTTGCTTCAAATGACCTCAGGAATCCCCTACTTTCGGATTGGGAGACATTTTTGGGACACTCTGTACAGACTCGAACAGACAAGACAGAACGCAACAAGACCTGCAGACTTTTAAAACGGTGTCCGGAGGACAACGAGATCTCCACGATTAACGTAGTTTACGATTAGTGCAGTGTATACGATCGTGCGTTACGGCGCGTTTAGGTCTGTCGAACGAATGCTAGTTCGTCCCTCGGTTCGACCGAAGTTCGTATTTTGTTTTATTATGTACCGTCGGGTTGTATTTGTATCGATTTCGAGTGGACGTTCACGAAGCAAAAACGAGCGAATCTCGCCGAATATCGAGCGTAGATATTACTTCTGTTCCATTTCGAATGCTTCGAAATTTCGCCGAACGATCGATCACGGAATCGAAATTTTGTATTTTGGCACTTTGTCGAACCGCGGAGGGGAACAAGGACTCGTTCGTTCGGTTCGAACGCCTTTCGACGAGGGTTGCGTGATCGCGCGCGCGTACAAACTTCCACGATGTTTTCTAAGATGTGTATAAGATGTGTGGTCGTTGGGAGGATATGAGGCAGCTTTTCATGTCCTTCGACGCCAGGATCAGGACGAAGGACACACGAAGGCCTCCCCATGCATCCCCTTGGTGGTCGAGAATATATCGTGCCGCGTGGCTGATCCCTGGATTGGCTTCTGGGTGTCTGCTTTCCCCGAGAAACACTCCTCCCCTCGGCCAAGCTTCTACTTCTTTTTCTTCTTCTTCTACTTCTTCTACTACTTCTTCTTCTTCTTCTCCTTTTTCTTCTTCTTCTGATCACCTAGCTTCCCAGCTTTCGTCCTCCCATAGTTTTTCTTTTACGATTCCTCCCCGTTCTTCGAGGGTCTTTCTTTTCTCCCCGCGTACCGGAAGTCCACGCAGACACGAAACCACCCTCCTGGCATGGCGCCCATCCCCCGATCCGCACCAACAACGCGTTGCGGCTGATTTTCTTGATCTGGCTTCTGACGAATGCATTCTCGCGCGAGATCGGCTTCAAGCCCACTGCGTCTGCATCTTGATGCACTGCTGCTGAAAAGTTTGCGAGCATCTTGTTATCGACGATCCCGTTCCGTATTCTTACGCTTCCGGAAAATTTGGATACGTACTTTTTAAAACGAAGGAACGTGTAAGGACGTTCGATGGAACGATCTGAGAACGGCGTTGTGTGCGATGGAGTTTCTATGGTAATTTTAATGCCTCGGGACTCTGTGTGTCCACACCCCCTCCCCCCTGGCAGGAACCTCGAAATTCGCAGCTTTGTATACTCTCTGGGATAATGGAACTTGGGGACAATTTGTCATCTGACAATGTTATAATTAAACTGCGGTTTTCGTGCTGTTACGGGAAATATTAATACATCAAGAAAGTATGTCTAAATAATTTAAAAACACTGTTGTTTTATTTTTAAATGGATGGAATATTCAGAGAAAGGAAGAGACGTTTATATGTGGTTTTTATATTTTGCAATTAGTGTCGATAAATTTTATTTTACGTTTGAATCCGCAGTCTCTGTTAACTCTTTGGGGCACAAGATTTTAGAAAATGAAATAGTCTCATGTCGCACAGAAATTTTATTGCGCTTTAAATTATACAAAATTGGTACATTTTTGTTGGAAAAAGAAATCACATAATATAAAAACATAAAATAATAATAATAATTCGATCCCGACAATTCGATTTGTCGTTATAGAATGGGACTCAAAATAATCCCACCGTGCCACATGGGTTCACGAATGCGCATGCAGCGATCGCAATATTTCGAGGTGGTTCTATAAAAATGTCCCACTATGCATTACCGTGCATCAAAATGATGGGACATTTTTAATCCCGCCGTGCCGCAAAGAGGTCCAATGCCGCCCATATGCTTGGCAAAAATCAATAAAACGTCTAATAGACGCGATAAACGAAGAATAGACGCGATAATTTTCATGAAAATGTATCAACGAATTTTAATTAAGAAACAAATATTTCTTCTCTATATCTGCTATAAAACTCTTCAGTACATAATTTCGCTTCGTACGAAAACTAGCTCGGACTTGGCGGTCCGCGAACGTGAAATACTTCTGGTCCGCCAAGGGTTAACTATCGTGGGTGAACTATAAAATTTGAAGGATCGCGGAATTTAAAGTGGCCGACAACCGAAAGATATTACGCATCGAACGTGTAAATAATTGCAGAGGCTGACTGGCCACGGTCGGGGTCCCAGTAATTCGTAGGCCGCGATAATTAGTCCGTCGGATCGAGTGCTTTTTGCCAGGGGTAGCGCGCGCGAGCTCATCAATATTTCACCGGCGAATCGACGGCTCGCCACCGTTCGATAAGCAACGGCAAACTTTTGAGGGGCAGGGTAGGACGCATCCCCAACCCCGTCGCGACCCACCCCCACCCGACCGCGGGTCTGTAGTTTATTTTACTTTAGCGAGCTTCCCATCCGTGCATCGTCGCGTTTAGGATGCCGACGGCCGAAACAGGCCGCGCGCGCGCACACACACAGGGAGAACGAGATTAGGTTTCCCGTTTAGGGGAGCGTTCCACTTCGTTCTTCCGTAAAGCGGGAGACGACGAGAATCGCGAAGCTCGCGACACCGGGGGCGGTTCCAACGCGCCTTCCTCGGATCTTCTCCCTTTGTTCGTGAGCTCGCTCGGATCGTCACGACGCCGAAGAAATACCGGGAACAAAGAGCCCGCGACATGTTTCTTCCCTAAAATAGCTGTCAACCGAGTCCCTTTGTTCGATTACGGCCGCCGTCTCGGGGAACGATCAGCCTCCGCCACTGTCTCTCCCGCGATTGTCTTCAGGACTGTTGGTTTAACGAGCGCTTGAACCGCGCTTCCGTTCAATCAGCCCCGCGCGCTGCCCGTCAAGGATGCTCTCCTTTGAGCCGGATTTTTCGGAAGAATGCCTTTGCCGTGTTTCATGGCGCGACGGAACGATTATCGACGAGGAAACAATAACTCGGAACTTTCCCCGAGCGGAAGACCGATGGCCGATCGATCGTTTCCTCGCGTTTAACCGGCCGCAAACTAAATTGTTTATTAGCGGCGATCACTTTCCGCTGATTACTTCTCCTCGTCGATTTATACCTTCGTTCGCGGGAACGCCGATTGATACTGCCAGTAACTTGAGACTCGTGAATACAGTAATGTCTCTCTAATTGACGCACAGATTGTCCAGCAAAAATGGACAATTCGGGGAGAAGAGATA